GGGGCTGGCTGGCATGTGGTGCTGGGGGATTGAACCGCGGTCCCTGATGCTTTAGGTAAGCTTGTTCTAAGTAGGTGCTTTAGACCACTGAGCCATCTCTCCAGCCCTAACATTTCTTGATATTTGTTTACTTCTCTTCAATTTAACTTCCCCTAATATGGTAGACTAACATCTACCTACCCACCCCCATCCTGCCATATCTCTCTAAGCAGAGTGATCTTAAAAAAAAATAAAGTCCACAAGTCTTCTCTTGTGAATGAATTCCAAAGTGTTTCAATTGTTATCTGTTTTCTTAAAATAAAAGCAAAAATTCCTTATTATTACCACATTGAAGACCTTGTCTACCTCTTGTTTTATTGAGATAGGGTCTCCCCATGTAGCTCAGGCTGGCCTCAAACTCACAGCAATCCTCTTGCCAAAGCCTTCCAAGTGCCAGGACTATAGGCATGTGCTATCATGCCTGGCTCTATCCACTTTATTTTATTTTATTTTATTTTTGTACAGGGTCTCACTATGCAGCTTGAACTCGTAGTGATCCTCCTGTTTTCAGCCTCCCAAGCGCTGGGATTACAGGCACACGCCACCATGCCCGGACTCTGTTGCCAGCTCAGCACGCTGGGGAACAGGGCCGGCATGGCATGTGGTGCCAGGGATCAAACCTGGTCCCTGTGCTTGATTAAGCAGACACTTAGTCTGTCTATCTACTTTAGATTCAATTGTGCATAGACACTTTGCTCTCTTCACTTCAGCAAAATTGGTCTTCAGTTCCTTTCTGCAAGTGTTGTGCTTTTTGCCTGGAATCATATTCTCTTCCCTCTCACCTAATTAACAACTACTCATTCTTCAGATTTTGGCTCAATCATTACTTTTCTTATGGAAGCTTTCCTTGACTTCCTTTTACTAGGTCAAATTTCCCTTAATGTACATGGTATCATCCTTTAGCTTTCTTCGGCAGTTCCTATAATAGTTGCAATGTTATATTCTTTATGCAAGTGTGTTAATGTCTGTCTTACAGGAGTATAAGGATAAGAACCATACTTGAAAGTACCATCAAACCTATGTCTATGGGGGCCAGGGAGATGGCTCAGTAGAATAAGCGCTTCCCTAGTAAGCACAAGGGCCTGAGTTCAATCCCCAATTCTGCAAAAAACAATGAAAAAACCAACCTATGTCTAGCAAAGGGCTTGGCCACAGTAAACATCTTGGTACATGATCGCTGTGCAGCAAAAATGTCTATGTAGGGCTATAGTATAATAACACGAAAAAAATTAGATACTGCTTTACAGTTAATCATCGTGGTAATCCTGCAAGGTAGGTATTATCCCTGTTTAGAAGACAAAATGTGGCAAAAAGTGATCAAATGACATTTTTAAGGTGACATAACTAGTAAAAGACTGAGCTGACAGTGGAACCCAAGTTTGTTAAAAGATCGTTTTTGGGGGGAGGGAGAATTAGATAGGGCAGGCTGGCCTTGAATTTATGGTGCTCCTCCTACCTGGGATTATAGATTTCCCTACACCAGGCTGTTAAAAGATCTTCACCACTTTTACATACACACCATTTTCTCTTTTCCCTTATTCTAAATGTCCTCCCTTATACTGCAATAAACTACTACCTGACTATTCAATAAAAGCTTCCATTCATACATTACTCAGAGGGTCTCTCTCTTGGCAGTACAAATATATTTGTGTCTTGTAATCTGACTCTAAATGCTTCCAAATTTTACAATATTGATATTATCTGTGTATCAATCAGTCCCAGCAATTAAATACAGAGAGCCCACAAGCAAATATTTTGCTTCCTAGCTTGAGAAATCTAGCATTTGAAAATTTTTATTCAGTATTAACAATAAGTGTATTTTCATACTTTTTTTAATAAACTATTAAATAAAACTATTAAAACTATAAACACACATGCATGTACACAAACTCAACAGACACATCTTTTTCAATTATGAGGGTTGAGATTCTAAGCCTTACCATTTTAAGAGGTTTTACATATTTTGAAAAATTGTTACTTACCAATAGAAAAGTACAAAGTAAAGCAAGGCTTAACTCCCACCATCCAGCATTTTCATATCGGTCTAGGCATATAAACATATATCTAATATGTATATTTTATATATTATATATGTTCTTCCATATACCTGCCTTCGTTCCACTGCAGAATATATTATGGACATCTTTCTTTCTGCATTTCAATTGGACATATGCTTGACAAAAGCTACTTAGAATAACTAGGGATCTCTTCTTTTTTTATTTTGGTGGAACCCAGGATTGAACTCAGACCCTTGCGCTTGCCAGGGAAACACTTATTCTACTGAGCCATCTCCCTAGCCCCTGGGGATCTCTTCTATAAGCTCAAGACACCTCTTATAATATTTTGGCTTATGTAGCTTTAAAATTTTTTAATGTATTTGGTACAGGGTCTACAGGGTGCTCAGGGTCTTACTACATAGATTGGACTCATAATGATCCTCTTGTTTCCAGCCTCCCAAGTGCTGGGATTACAGGCACATGCCACCACACTCAGTCTCAATCGCCATCTCAGTATGCTCTGGGGGTGGGGCCGGAGCCAGCACAGCACTCCAGGGATAGAACCCTGGCCACTGCATTCTGCCTAAGCAGGCCCTTTAGTCCACTGAGCTATCTGGCCAGCCCTTAAAGTTTTTTTAAAATACTAAACAAAGATAATTAAGATAACTTACTGCAATGCTGATGTGAAACATAGAATAGCTGACAGAATAGTCTAAAAAAAGGGTCAACAAACTGTGGCTCACCACATCTTTTCATAAAATACTTAACGGTGTAAAGCCATTTGCTTACATATTATCTAACACTTTTTACACTACACTAGACCTGACTAGTTGTAGCCATCTAGCTTGGAAAATCTAAAATATTACTATCTAGATCCTTCCTCAAAGCTTACTGATCCCTGGATTAAAAAGGCAAATGTAGACACAGATAAAAGTCTTTATGTAATCAAGTCACACCATTTTTTTCATACTGACTACATTTTTTGTTTTTTCCTTTTTTAAGATAGTATTTCACTCTAGTTCAGGCTAGTTTTGAACTTACTACATACTCTAGGATGATCTAAAACTCACGGTAATCCTCCTACCCCAGGCTCCTGAGTGATGGATTACAAGTGTGCACCACCACACCCAGTTTTTTATTATAATAACTGTAAGCCCTGGCCTAAGTAAAATCAATTTTTATGGTTTTAGTACTCATAAAGAGGATAGAGTATAAACAACTTACTTCATATACCTTGTTCCAGTTTTCCATCTCTAATTTTTGTTGACTTTGTTTAAGTTGGTTTAAACTTGGTTTAATAAGAGAATTTCCTACAGTTTCCTTTGTCCAGTCATCCACCAGCTTATGTAGATCATCAGTGAACATCCCTTTTTTACTGGCTGGAGATTGTTGGCATGATGTTCTGTTACTTTCCACACACAGTGGATCTGTAAAAATATTGAAAAGAAAACAAAACAAAACAAAACAGGGAAACCATGAAGAGAAATTACATCTGATAAACAGATAACTCTTCTTTGACCAATAGTGCAGTTAGCAGAACCACACACGTTATAGGTTGGGTATCTAGATATTACAGTTTATTTGAGACAATCCTTATTTAACGCTGTTGCCCTGGAGTAATTACTAACAGAATACCTTTCACTCTCAAAGGTTTCTGGATATGCCAAAGTAAATGGTTACTTTAAGAAAAAGTTAGATATAATAAATGAAATCTTCAAAAATAAGTATAAACTTTAATCTCTGTATTAGTTTTCTCAAGTAGATATCCAGAAGAGTTAAAAAAAAAAAAAGAATCCTAGAGCTGATGCTGTAGCTCAGTGGTAGAATGTTTGCCTAGTATACATGAGGTTTGATTCTCAGCACAGAAATAAAGAATCATAGGAAGTTTAAAATAGAACTTTAGAGGTATAGTCAAAACTATTTATTGTATAATAGGGAAACGAGGTCCAGAAAAAGTACAGTGACAAGCATAGAGTTTTTTTCAAAATTCTTTACTGGTATGTTTGTGATGTACAGTGATTACAGTCAGTTTGGGGGACTAATACGTCTACATAACACATTTTTAAAATTTTTACTCCCTGTATCTGCTGCCTTCCCTTATTGTCTCTTTCCTAAATTCCTTTGCCATCTCCAAAGTCTCCTTGCTTTTCTTAACATTTCTCTGATATTTATCCTTCTCTGTCTGACTTATTTCACTTAGTATCATTTCTTAAGATCCATCAATTTTTCCTATAAGTGACTCAAATTTACCCTTTATGGCTGAGTATTACTTCATTTTGTATACATACCACATTTTCTTTTTTAATATCTTTTTTTATTTTAAAGACAATAAAAAATACAAAATTTTGGAACAAGATAATAGGAAGTTAACAGTGGTTGCTATATTGCAATTGTTATTTTGAAAGTAGTTACTCAGATTACCAGGTATATGCATGGAAGACTTATCAAACAATAACTATTCCTTTCAATGACCTAAAAGAAATTAGTAACATAGCAGGATACAAAGTCAACACTCAGAAATCAATAGCATTCCTGTATACATTTTCTTTATCTGTTCATCTCTTGATAGGCATATGGGCCACTTCTATGATTTAGCTACTGTGAACTGTGCTGATATAAGCATTATTATTGTTATTGTTATTGTTATTATTTTGAGACAGGGTCTTGTGCTATATAAACCAGGCTGGCCTTAAACTCACTAGGTAGTCTAGGCTGGCTTGCAACTCATACTGATCCTGCTACCTCAGGCTCCCAAGTGCTGAGATTACAGGAATGTGCCATTGCACCTGGCTATAAACATGGTTAGGCATGTAGCACTGTAATATGAATTTAACTATTTCAGAAAGATACCCAGAAGACATATAGCTGAAGCAAATAAAATGTCTATTTTTAGTTTTTGGAGGACTCTCCTTACTAGTAGGTGTACTAGTTTACATTCCCACCAACAATGCAGAATTGTTCCTTTTTCCTCACAACCCTGTCAAAACTTGTTGTCTTTTGAGTTCTTGATAATAGTCATTCTTACTAGAATAACTTGAAATCACTGTGTGTGTGTGCATGTGCGTGTGCGCGCGCGCGCGTGTGTGTGTGTGTGTGTGTATGACTGCACATGCACAGATGTTGTAGGACTAGAAATACAGTAAGCTACATCCCCAGCACCCACTTTTTAAAAGTTTTTATTTTGGCATAGGGTGTCCAAGATGCCAGACTGAGTCCAAGATTGGGATCCTCTTGCCTCAGCCTTACAGAGTGCTGTGATTATACTCATGTGCCACCATACCTGGCTTAAACATTACTTTCAAGCCAATTACTTAAACACAAAAGGCCACCGTCAAAGTTTCTTGAAGGATGAAAAAGAATCAGGTGAATTAGCTAATATTTAGTTAGACAAGAAAAGAGAGACCTATCTATCCTAGTCACTCCTAAGGCAACAAGCTCTTTCCTTCAATTCTGGTCTTTAATACTCCTCCAACCACCTCCCCAGCCCAGGAGCACTGCTATCTCCTCCAGCAAACAGCCCTCTCTCCTGAAGATAGCGACCCAGGAGGAAAAGAGCAGAGAGAAACATTGCAGGGGTTAGTCAAATTTTGGCTAAGAAGAAGTCACCCTCCTACCTGGATCAATTGACCCATCAGGCCCCGCCCCTTACCTATCCACCTCCACCTGGACCTTTTAGTGTACTTTTTATTTCCTTTCTCTAATTGCCAAAGGTACTAAATTTTTTTCATTTATTTATTGGCCATTTCTCATTCTGAGAAGCATTTATTCATTTCAGCTGACCACTTTTTAATTGGGTCTTTTATTGGGGGGGGGTCCTAAATTTCTAGAGTTCTTTATCTATTCTAGATATTAGTCCTAATATGCCTGAGTTCTTACAACCAGTTACCAGGAGAGGCAGGCCAAAAACTGTAAAGCAAGGACTCTTGTCAATGTACCATGCTGGCTTCCAGCAAATAGTAGAAAACTTGAATCACACTTTATTTTCTACCAATTATTTGTTTATATTAAAATTTAAAAAGAATATATATTTAGAATGGCAGAAATGAAGACACTGGAGGTTTAATGAGACTTCTGAGTGCTAAAGCATAACCTGTTCAAATGAAATGAATTGCAGATGATTCTATCAGTGAAAAATTTCTTAATCTGAATACCATATTGTCTTTATATTAAAATTTAGTACTATTATTCATGCTTATTAAATCATTCTCACAGAAAAGATTCATCGAGTTCTATCCACTGATTTATAAATCAACAATTTACAGGGTGGGTCTAAAATCAATTTTAGAAAGTACACTTGTGGGAGCTAGGGAGATAGCTCGGTGGCTTACATGCCTGCCTGGCAAGCGCAAGGTCCTGAGTTCTATCCCTGGTACCAAAAAATGAAAAATAACAAAATAAAGCTTAAAAAAAAGAAAGCACAGTTGTGAAATTTTAACACAATAACATTTCCAGGATTTAATTAGGTAAGCATATGGATATGTCTTGCACATGTTATGGCTATTTTTTGAATCATGAAAAATTACAGAAAATGCAAAGGACAATGCAATAAGCCAACCAAATATTTTTCTTTGCTATCTTTGAAACAATATAATTCTATTTTATAAATGGGGAAATGGACACAGAAGGTAAACAAGGTTATATGTGGGGGATACAATTTAGGTTTTCTGCCAGGCATGGTGGTGCACCCCTATAATCTCAGCACTCTGGAGGCTGAGGCAAAACTGCTGCAAGTTCAAGGCCAGCCTTAATTACACAGCAAGGCCTTGTCTCAGGATAAAACGATGCAACCAACCAATCAACCAGAACAAACAAACAAAAGAATTCAGGTTTCCTACTGTTATTGTTAGGTCAGTGTACCTTCCACTATACCATGCCATACTAAATAATAAACTGAAAATTAGATAAAGAAATTGCTTAATAAGAATCCACAATTGCTTGTATAGTCTGTGATTCTCTACGAACACTGCATTGAAAGATTAAGGATGTTAAGTATTAAATGGAAACATTAGTGAAAATTACTTAATAGTGTAATGAGTTAATTGGAACATTCAAATATAAGAGTTTTACAACAATAATGTATACTAATTTAAAGCAATCATGATACACTAAAGTAACAAATCTTGTTGGAATTCTTAGTATTCAAAGGCTTAAAATCTTGAGGCACACAAGTTTGTAACAAAAATATCATTTTTTTCTTGTTATCCATCTGCACATTCACCTATTTCTCTGACAACTTCATTGAAGGAACAAATAGCACAGCAAAGTTAAGGAAGATTTCAGAGCTAACACCTTTATAGATTGACAAGAGAACTATAAACATCCTAGCAGTTTTGACCACTTGGCTTCCTTTGGAATATTTTTGTATACACTCCCTTTGGCTTCTAAAAATATGTTACAGAAAGGTAGGTTATTTATACTGTAATACTGGGGATTGGACCCAGGACCTTCACAATGAACTATAACCCTAGCCCTTTTAATTATTTTATTTTATTTTAATTAATTTTATTGAGAAAGAATAGCAGTAAGTTTTAAAAAGGTTAGTAGGACAGTTACAATAATTAATACTATTTTTTAAATTTTATTATGGGCCAGGGAGATGACTCAGTGGAATAAGCGCTTCCCTGGCAAGGTCAAGGGCCTGAGTTCAATCCCCAGTTCCACAAAAGAGAGAGAGAGAGAGAGAGAGAGAGAGAGAGAGAGAGAGTAAAATTTCATTAAATAAAGTAATAGGAATTTGACAATGGTTGTTGTATAATGTTATCTTCAAATTAATTATATGGGCTACCAGATATAAACCTGCAAATTGGTTAAAAAAAAGTTATAAGAAATTAAAAAGAAAAAAAATTAAGCATTAACTGATGTTTTTCAACAGACCCACAGAAATCAATACAATTATCCAAACTATCCTGCATATATACATGAATGTATCTTTTCCCCTTCTTAAAGGTAGTTTTAAATTTCATTCAATAAAGGACATTTCTGTACTAAGGAAAAACACAAGACCAGGACTTGTATAAAATTCTAATGGAAGAAATCATCTGGAATACTAGATAGGCAGTCAGTGATGGTTGTCGCACTAGACCACAATAGCCAACAAGGGAAGGATAAACAATTAACAAATGAAGTACTGTAATTAAATAGAACAAGGGCTAGGATAACAACACTTCTAGGTAAGCAACTGAAAACTCTATACACACACACACAAAGTTTCTAAGAAAAATTATCAAATAAGACAAAAAAGACATTTGAATGTTCTTCAACCTAACAATGCTTTACATGTGATATAGGAATTTATTGAATGAACTATTCATATTATACTGTAAAAGACGACTTAATTTAATTTCTTCTTCAACCAGATTTTATTGCTACATTTTAGATATACACATTCATCATAGACAATTTGTACCTGTACATGATATGACTTGCT